AAAAAAAGAATTAAATTTAATGGAAATTTTCAGGAGGGTCAAATCCATTGTGTTCATGTTCGGGAGGGGTTGGAGCATATTGCCCGTGTTCGCACCAAGCATCATTGCTACAAAACGCGTATTCTCCAGCTTTACAACCAAGTAAACTTTGGCTGCAATTTATTTATTATTGAAATGCTTGATTTCTGTTAAGCCAAGACCGCTTTTTTTGCAATTTTGCTCTGGGCACACCGGTATTGTGCATTATCTTCACTTCGATGTATTGATTTTCATGCCAATTTTTTTACTGTATATGCTGAGCTCTTGCAGCATTTCGTTTGTTTTGCGAGGTTACTTGTTATAAGGAGTATGTCCTCCGTGAAATCTACGTGATTTAGCTGCTTGCACGTGCATAAATCATTATAAAACCTTTCTAGCCAGAAGTTTGCATGTGTTTTTAAGCAAAAGTTCGAATTTTCAGGTTATTTAGCTCCCGCTCCAGCAGCTTATCCGGCCTCACTAACAGCAAATCCCTACGCCGCTTTTAATACAGCACCACTTGTCGACCGCGGAAATTACCTTCGAACGTACGAATTGCCACAGGAGCCATCGCAACAGCCAATAGCACCGAACTTCGCCCAACAAGTCTCTCCTGTATCTTCACTCGAATATGCGAACAACCCATCCGAAAGCTTTTACAGTCCGTCATTCGATCGGACGAACAACATTTATGGACTACATCCAAGGAGGCCAACACCAGTTCCAGCGACATTGGCAACACTGCTACCACAAGCACCTGCTGCTTATTCATATCCGAGAGACGACGGACACTTTTTGCAGACTGAAGTGCCACCAGCGGCTCCCAGCGGGTATTTGCTTTCTTGAATGAGCTGACATTAATCTTGACACTTTATTTGTTTTCTCTAACAAATGGTGAATGTCTCGCATCACAGCGACTGACAAGCATTTGCATGAAAATGACCATATGGTTTATTTGCGCGTAAAAAAACCCAGACTGGGACGCACCGGGCGGGCCCGTGCAATTATGCGTTTTTGCACCGGACTTGAAGTACTCAGACCATTAACTGCATGAACGGCTGTTGCTTTACACCTACTTTTTTCGGTCACTAGCATAAATCACCATAAATTTTGCAAAGTAAGCGTGCAATTTCCACTTAACAGTCATTCTATAAAAGTAACCTAGTTATTCAGTGAGAAAATTTTCCGCCAAGAATTTTAAGTGCCCGTACGTAAGAACCACGCATACCTCAAGCTGAATCTGAAATGCTTAAGTTGTACTCGGACAGGGAACATTCCTCCAAAATTTCAGCTTTCCAACTTTTCTGGTTATTGAGTTGGCAATTTTCCCGCCAAAACCTTCACATACCTCTACGCGGGCACTCCACATACCTGGAAAGCTGAACTTGAAATTTTTCAAATTGCACGTGGACAGGGAACATCCCCTTAAAATTTCAGCTTTCCAGCTCTTCTGGTTGCCGAGTTAGTAATTTTCCTGCAGAA